GGGAGGGGAGCATCCCACACTGAGGTCTGTGGGGTTGGACTAGGCGAGGGACAGTGGGGGATAGGGAGTTGGGGAGGGATAACATGTGGAGTAATGTAAGATGTAGGTGATGCGGATGGAGGCAGCAAACCACATTGCCGTGTATGTACCTATGCAATAATATTTCATGTTCTTCACATGTACCCCAGAACCTAAAGTGCAATAATATGTATATTTAGAAAAAAAAAGTAAACCTTGTAATCTCAAAAAAGAAAAATCAAACAAACAAACAAACTGTACACACCATGGAATACTACTCAGCCATGAAAATGAACAAAATTATGACATTTGCAGCAACCTGGATGGAATTGAAGACAGTATGTTTGGCTGACTTTAACTGCTTATTTATGACACAGAAATAGACGTTGATGCATGTAGCTGCAGTTTGTTGATTCTCATTGCTATATATTTAACTCTCTGAATATACCACTATTTATTCTATTTTTAATGGGATTTTGAATGTTTTCCCCAGTTTTAGTCTCTTAGGAACCATCATTCTGCACGCCTCTTGCTGTATATATAAATACATTGCCAATAAGAACCAAAACCATTGAGTTTCATAAAATGAGTTGGAAAATCCTGCTCCTCTTTCACTTGTCATCTGTTACCTGAAGGTGCTTCAGTAATACTGGTATTGTTTTTCCTCAAATGTTTTATAGAAGTCATGGATGAAGCCATCTTGTCCTATAAATTCTTTTCATGAGAAACTTTTAAATTATGCATTTAGTTTATGTAGTGCTTCTTGAATTTTTTCCATTAAAGTATAACACACATAAATAAAAGAGCAGATTTCTTGTGTATGCTAGAAAGAAACCAGTAGGGAAATGAAAGAGATTGAATTTATTCTAAATGTGATATTATATAGTAGTATAGCCTTGAACAAGTTCAAGAATCTCTCTGAGTTTTCATTTTTACTATTGAAGTACTTACCTGCCTTACTAGGCTGTGTTGGGTTTATGAATGAAATGATCACAGTACCTACTAAATGGTAGTTATTATTCATTTTCCCTGTCTTAGGTATAGATGGCAACTGGTGAATATCATGCTTATTTGAAATAAAAATTTATTCTGAAGTTACAATTAATACGAGTACTTAATCTTTTACATATTTCAGCATTATATATATATTGTTAGCATCACTAATAGTGTCTGACATTTTACATTACTTCTTTTCACCTTCCTCACAAAAAAAGTAAACTAACACTTTCATAAAAATAGACTTTATTTTGTGCTCTTGAAGAAGTAATTTCTTGGAGTAAAAACAAGTTGAACAAAAACTGTGAAATGTCTAAGAAAAAAACATTTCCACACTAAATACTCCTATGAATTTCTAAAAATTCCATGATGTATTGAAACAGAGAAATGTCTTAGTGATTGGTGAAACTGAGCATAAGGAAGACTAGAAGAGGCATCTGTAGTAAGAGTGTGTATAGTTACAGAGCTGAGACCTTCAATAAGTAAATTTGCAAAATACACACACACACACACACACACACACACACACACTTAGAAGAAGCCACAGTAAACAGTGTGAACACAGAAATCAACAGCAAGAGACATTATTGCTGTGCGGAAACTTTATGATATGAAGCCCAAGATTAGTATTAATGTAAAAATAAAATTAATGCTTCAACGTGTGAAAGGCAAGTAGCAGAAGTAGCAATCTGACACAAAAAGAGTTTGCAGATAAAATCCTTGAGGCCTTTCATGAGTGTGTATGCAAAACACAAAATTTAGAAAATGCTAGATATATTTATCCTATGAGCGTCCAGCATATTAGAATCTTATAGTTTCTCCTACAGCTATTTAAACCTTATAATTAGTTAATGATTACTTTATTCATATGAGTTATTTTATCTCTACAATTCTGACTGATTACAAGATGTGGGAAATAAGAAGCCTTATCCAATGAAAGTAATAAGCTTCCTTCTCAGAACTCTGCTTATACGCTCCAACAGATAAAAGAAATACTTCACACTTTATGAAATGATGAATTTGATTTATTTCTGAAATTAAGGGACAACTTTCCTTCTCTTCTTTTAAAATATCAAATAAAATTAAATTGAAGAGGATTCTATTCCCTCTAGTTTAATTTCATTCAGTAGGCCAATAAATACCCAGGATTTCTGTAGCCTTCATAAAAACAGAAAAATGAATCATCCCTACTCATCAAAAGAAAATGCAAGGGCATATATGTTATATTACATATTTTAATTAGAATGAGTGGTAACCAGCCCCATCTTGGCTTATTTTTAATGATTTTTTTAAATTGTTATGATCTCTTTACCCTGACAGTCTTCCATTTGTACTAACATATTAGAATGCAACTTTTTTTTTTTTTTTTTGAGACGGAGTTTCACTCTTGTGGCCCAGGCTGGGGTGCAATGGCGCAATCTTGGCTCACCACAACCTCCACCTCCTGGGTCAAGATCTCCTGCCTCAGCCTCCCGAGTAGCTGGGATTACAGGCATGCTCCACCACACCCAGCTAATTTAATATTTTTAGGAGAGACAATGTTTCTCCATGTTGATCAGGCTGGTCTCGGATTCCCAACCTCAGGTGATCTGCCTGCCTTGGCCTCCCAAAGTGCTGGGACTATAAGTGGTGAGCCACCACACCTGGCCAGAATGCAACCTTTAGCGTGGCATTTCCCCTCTTAGTCCCACCTTGGATTTCTGCCACACCTGTGCTGACCTTCCACACAAGCATTTACTGGCTTCAAGTAGGTACAACTTAACAGGTTTGGGCTTGGCTCCTATTTCAATAGCTGTTGTTTCCTGGCTGCGGGGACTCGTCTGACTGTGGAAATCCTCTCTGCACTCAGCATATGCCAGCTGTCTGGGGGAGTTACCTCATGCAGAACCCTTGACCAATGGAGGACAGGAGACAATGAATAAAAATTTTCTCCTCTTTTCCTACAGGTAGTCAGTTCGCAAAAGTATTTCACAAGGCTCCTTAGAAGGCCCTACAGTAGCAAATACTAGTTGCCTTTAGGATGGACAATTTAGTTTTACATCTTTATGTGACTCTTCCTTTTTCCCTTACTCCACCTGTTCCTCAAACCTACTCCCCGGGAGCATATTTTTAAATAAGCAACCTGAACACAGCCTTTAATTCAGACTCTGCTTTTAGAAAAAGCCAGGCATTTTAATTCTTAGTAGGATCAAAACAGGTACAACAAACCAGCTCACTTTAGATGGTAATCGTCTATGACAGCTTGTCGGCTACCTGACCAAACTTGCTTCACCAGTTCCTTTAATCACCTAAGAAAAATAGCATTTTCAATTTGTCCACCTTTCATGCTTTGTTTAGTTTTACCAGTTTCTGCTTCCCACACACACTTGAGAACAATACTCTGCCACTCTTCCTGACTTGAATTGCATTACACTTACCAGGCTGTTTCTGCTTCATAAATGATATCCCATGCTAGGGGCAAACCATGACCATAGTTTTGTCAAAAGCATAATAGAACAAGACTGAAGTATATTCTGCTTTCTATTTTTCTCTGTTCTACTCGCAATTTTGAGATAACCAGTAAAAACGTAGTTAATACAACTGCATTTAATTTCATATCTGACTTCCCGGGTCCCTTCTTAACCTAGTCACATCTGCCACCTGGTAACTGAGGTCTCTAGATTTTACCAGGAAAAATAAACAAATATTTAACACATCTGTAGCAATTGTAATATGCTGATCTCTTTTGCATATGTAATTTTATTTGATCCTCCAAACACCATAGTCATAAGAGAGATGGTGCACACAATAAAACTCTGTTTTACAAATGAATACAACCAGATTTGAGAAAAGAAATTGCATTTGGCCAAGGTCACTGTTCTGGTAAATATTGGAGCCAGAATATGAACTCAAGTTTTTTGCCTTTCCAGTCAAATGCTCTTTTCACATGCAAAATAGATGAGTGTTCAACCTGTGTCATCCATTGCTATAGTAGCATATGTAAACAAAACTTGCTTCTCCTTCCAAGAAAACATGGAAAGAAAATAGAGAAATCTATCAGTCATTTTTCTCCTGAAGGAGAGGAAACATGAGAGAGAAATATGTTTGATTTGGGGAGCAATGTTGTCATCTTTGTTGATGGGTAGAGGCAGCATTTTAGAATAATCAGAAGTCTATTTTCATCCTCCAAGAGCTTTGTTTACTGGCGAGTTTCTATGTTATCCTGGAAGTACAACAGATGCCTGGAGTGTCTGTAATGAACTTTGCATACATTAGTATGCTTGGCAATCAGAACTGCCTGTAGGTCCTCCATGGATGACTTCTGTTCTCTTTTTTCTTGATATGTTTTTCTTTCACAGTGAAACCGTCAATACTGGCACCTCTACCTGGTTCAGGGTCATCAGGATCCAGTGTTTGGCATGGTGGGACAAGCAAATTATAATCTGATAGTAGTTATCGGGGACCCCACCTTCCTTGCCAAGGAGGATGGGAAAGGACTTCAGAGACTGCCAACTATCTTATCTGGTTGGAATGTGCATAATAATTATTTCGTATAGTATTGTTGAATAATATTCTCACAAATACTAGTGAAAACAATTTTTAAATCAGGAATTTGTTTGCATATAATTCTTCAGTTAGAGGAATAATCCAAAATGAAATTCCCAAAGTCAACTTGAAATAATTCATAACATACTCTTTCAGTTTCTAAAACCTAAATGTGCTTTTACACCTATTTGGGGTTTGGTCAGTTTTACTGCATAAGTTGCAAACTGAAAGTCATCTTTAATTTACATATTTTAGTAAGATATATTGATTTATTATTCAAACTGCCTCAAGTCTTTTCTATTCTTGCTACCCTCAGAGACTGCATTTTAATTTACTACTACTAACTGGCTAGAAAAATGATAGAGTGAAGACAAACATTTTACAAAGAAATCTTTAACTTAGAGATTGCATTTTTTAAAATACCTGTACATGGTAAGAAAAATTGCCAATGGCAAGAAAAAAATCTTACAGAAAATATGGTTTTAGAGGATTAAAAATTATAAATATTAGATACAATTGAGAAACATAGGAAAGTAAAGTTCCAGAAGGCATTGATCTCCAACGCAAATTATACAAATTATATGTATCAGTTTTATCACCCTGCCCTGGTAGATAGCTTCACATATTAAATCACCTCCTGTAATTCTTCAGGTCAGCTGCTTCCAAGTGATGTGGGATATGGTGGAATTATTAGGTCTTGTGGTCATGCATACATTGCATCTACTGTTGCCAGTGGGTCCTTTGATCAGGGGTGACATTGGTGAGCTCTATATCGGTAAATTAGGTGTTCTTAAGTTCTTGGACACTGATGTTGTCTGTGCCTCTGGAACAAGGAAAAGGGAAGGTAAGTCCATAGCTAGAATGTGTCTCAACAGAACTGGCTTTATAATTTGTGGGATCCAGTACAAATTGAGAATGCCACATCCTTTGTTCAAAAACGACTAAGAATTTCACATCAGAGCATTAACTGAGCATGTGACCCATATATGTCTGGGGTCTGTGCAGCTTCACAAATGGCAAACCTGCAAAGGCAGCCTTATGTATCAATTCTGACAAGGGTAAAATTCTGTCCCCTCCAGATGTGAAGATCATGAACTTGCTATCAAAGGTTAGTTGGTGTCCTTGAGAAAAGGTACCACATTAAAGTTCTTTGGGTTGGTCTCTGCTATTAGTAGATCAGGCATTCAGCTGAGGCAAAAGTTACATCAGCCTTTTGAGAGGAATATGGTCTTTCAGTGACCACTGTGGTCACTACATTCATAATTCCATTGTGCAAGCACCAGAGAGTCCAAAAGGCAGGCTGGCGACATTTTGGTTGCTAATTTTTTTCTCATCTGCAGTGGGTGCTTTCTGGTGGGCATTAATGTGAAACCTGCACACTTTATGCTTTCTCCCAAACACCCATTCATAAGCCTGTTCCAAGACTTTCTTATCTTTTTTCTTTCAATATTGTTCACTGCTGAGATAATAAATATTTGCATCTACTAAGTTTGGGAGTAATTAGTTATGCAATAACAGATAATCAATGCAGGCATTAAAGAGATTGCCTTCTTAAGATCTTCATTCCCCTTACCTAACCCAACTTAAGACTAATACATCTATGGTCAGTGACTGGTAGCTGCTCTCATAGAGGGAAACATGAATTAAACAAATAATAATGTAAAATGTAAGTTTATTTTGTTCACTAATTTAGTTGAGCTCCTGAATGAATATAATTTTCTAACTTTTCCCATCGAAATGCTTGAAATTTTGTTGACAGCATCAATTCTGCTTTCAGTAAATTGGATCCCCTGAGTGAAAATAGTTTTGGGAGAGATAATCCAATCAAATGCAAGACATAAAGAAATATAGAAAATAGGACATGTTCTACATACTGTCCAATTTTAACGTGGCTTATGAATGGCAGAGGATAGAATCAAGTTTGACATTAAGAAGGGGAATGGGTGCAGAGGTTCACACCCATAATCCTAGCACTATGGCAGGCCATGGCAGGTGAATCACCTGAGGTCAGGAGTTCAAAATCAGCCTGGCCAACATGGTGAAACCCCGTCTCTACTGAAAATACAAAAATTAGCTGGGTGTAGTGGCACACATCTGTAATCCCAGCTACTCGGAAGACTGAGGCAGGAGAATCGCTTGAACTGGGAGGTGGAGGTTGCAGTGAGCCAAGATCATGCCACTGTACTCCAGCCTGGGAGACAGAGTGAGACTCCATTTCAAAAACAAAAAGAAATGCAATTAAGAAGAGAGAAAGGGAAAATCGCCACTGTTCTTTATCACATTTCCAAGAATCTGGGATGTCCTCATCACATTTTCAGATTTGACCTTGGTGAGAAAAGAGACTTTTTTTTTTTTTTTTTTTTGAGATGGATTCTTGCTCTGTTGCCTAGGCCGGAATGCAGTGGTGCAATCTCAGCTCACTGTAACCTCTGCATCCCGGGTTCAAACCATTCTCCTGCCTCAGCCTCCTGAGTATCTGAGACTACAGGTATGGGCCACCACATCCAGCTAATTTTTTGTATTTTTAGTAAAGACAAGGTTTCACCATGTTAGCCAGGATGGTCTCAATTTCCTGACCTCATGATCCTCCCACCTTGGCCTCCCAAAGTGCTGGGATTATATGCATGAGCCACCGCCTCCAGCCGGAGAAAAGAGACTTTTAAAAACCTTTTTCCATTTCTTATGCTTATAGAAATATCAGCTAAACTTTGGAAAACAATTAGCACAGGAAAATAACAAAGGCTTTTCTATATTGTTATTGAAGAATAAAGAAGGAAGCTTACCTACTTGTTATTTACTGAAGATAATTTTTAACTCCTTTCCTTGAGAACTAATCATCCTCTCATGGATAAGAAGGACTATTCCTGTTGTAGTAGGTTAAAGTTTTCTGTGAAGGATTGTTCAAGAGAAAATGTGGAGTACATGAGCATTTTCTGGAAACGGATTTAACATAAGAAAATGTTAAGCACATGGCAGAAAAATAGTTTATTCAAAGAGTTATATTAGGCTTCAAAGAAATTCCATAACAAATAAAATACTAATGTTAAGAACAACATTCAGCGATCATCTGTGACAATACATAATCAGTGACATTCGGAAATGGACAAAGCAGAGCCAGAGACTAGAACAAAACCAGAGTATAATACTTACAAATTTACATTCAAGAATAGATTTGTAACGAAAGGCTTTCTACAAGTTTTCTCTGATTATATTTTTATAAAAATATACCATGAAATGGAAGAAGCTGATATTATTTTCTTACAGATGAAAAAAATGTGAGCTACTTTGAGGCTAAGCAACTTATCCTAGAAAGAATAAGATTTCCTACTGTGAGTCCTTTATTAGATGTTGTCTACATTATTTACTAGGACATTAAAGTCTACTAAAACTTCTATTGAAGGGTCTCATGGAATTTGGTTATTTGTTTATGGCTTTCATTCTACAGGTGGAATTTAGAGAAATGTCTGTCTTAAATCCTTATTTCGGAAACATTAGGGCCATTCTACAAAGCTTTGAATTAGTTCAGGAAGTCAAAAGTGGATTTTCAGAGTTACTTTAGAACAAGTTCATTGCTGCTAAAGAGGTAAGTCTGCAATCAAACTCTTCATCCTTTCCTGAATCTCTTCTCTAGTATACCAGTTTTTTTAAAAGGCCCAAAATGCAGAAGAAAGATTTCATAAAAACAAACCAAAAAAACCTTTCAACATTAATGCCTCTCTGGCCGGGCGCGGTGGTTCAAGCCTGTAATCCCAGCACTTTGGGAGGCCGAGGTGGGTGGATCACGAGGTCAGGAGATCGAGACCATCCTGGTCAACATGGTGAAACCCTGTCTCTACTAAAAAAAAATACAAAAAATGAGCTGGGCATGGTGGCGTGTGCCTGTAATCCCAGCTACTCAGGAGGCTGAGGCAGGAGAATCGCTTGAACCCAGGAGGCGGAGGTTGCGGTGAGCCAAGATCGTGCCATTGCACTCCAGCCTGGGTAACAAGAGCGAAACTCCGTCTCAAAAAAAAAAAAAAAAAAACATTAATGCCTCTCAAAATATCTCAGAAGAATGTAACCAAATGATATATAGATGTTTTCCAAAGAACATTCTACAAAATGTTAGTCTTTTTTTATTAGAATCTTTCTGCTTATAATGGACTTATTATTCATTCAGTTTACAAGTGTACTTTATAATAAAAATGAATGTATTTCTAGTATGCAAATACAGGTAGGCTAAATCATAACAAATTAGTTATTTCTAATAGGTTTTTATGGCTATGCATGATCCAGGAGAAAAAAATATATAGATTTCAGAGTCAGAATATATTCAAATCTTGATCCTACTTCTTTAATTACTAGTAAACGCCTTTCAACATTTTTAAAGACAATCTCTCTTTCTTAAGATCATTATCTAAAACCTACTTTAATAGTTTGCCACTTTTAGATTTTTTTACATAATGTTTTCCTCATGTTTATATGCTTAAATGTGGCCATTAATATTACTCTCAAATTTATTCAATATTTTTTCATATGTTTAATTTTTTAAGCAGTGTTCCATTCTTTAACCCCCCTGTTTTAAATGGGTATGTATGTCACTCAACCAAGAAATTAGTGTGCAAGTGTTAATCCTATCATCTCAAACTCTGTGTCCATGAAATTTCATAGTCATCTTTTAATCAAATAAAATAAGGCTCTGGGCCTATCACCGCCACACTGGAAGGGAATTTAGTCTCAGTTATGAAAGCCACCCTTCTGCCCATTCACTTCCAAAGGATTGAGCAAATGGCCTACGTTTAGAATTTCAAAACAAAAAGTAAAGATGTATAAGACATAAACTGTTTCTAAAAAGTTATGTGCCATATTAGCATTCTCTAAATCTACCTTTTCATTTACTATGTCTGAGTTTATTTGTTTCATGATTCTGGAAACAGAGACAAGTTCAGGTTACCTCGGGCAATTGGTTTTATCCTCAGAATGGGTAGCAACATAGACTGTACTTAAATTTCAAAGGAAAAGAAAACAGTACAGAAAAAAAAAAAAAAACAACAGATTCACCCTCCAGTTTTCCAGGATCTTGCAATGTGAAATCTTATGCAAACCTATTCTCCACAAGCTGTTGTGAGATTTAACATTCCCACTTTTACGTTCCGACTTACTAAAATTTACATGTTGGCAGTCCTCTTCCCAAGGCATTTACCTTTACTAACCAACCAAAAATCTAGATTTAATGTAGGATTAATTGGCCTTTTTAGCTTAATGGGTTAATATCCCATTTTCAATTTGTTTTAAGGAATTTGATGACTTACTCCAAACAAAAGCTTTAGACACTATGATAAAGTTGGAAGATGATATTATTTGATTGGGATGATCTCCATTACTGTTCTAATCAAATATTAGGGTGGTGCAAAAGTAACCGTGGTATGGCATTTTTCTTTTGCACCAACCTAATAATATCACTTGAAATAGTCTTATTACCTTTACAAATCGTATGGTGATAAAAATAATGACAATACCCCACTGATTTTAGTCAGTAGAAAAGTATCTGTAATATAAAATTCAAATCATCAAACTTGCTATATAAATTGAGTACTACCACTAAATATGGCCATGAGATTTTAGATCTTTCAAAGACCACATGCATTACATTTTCCAAATTTATTTCACATAGTAATAAGAAATATGCTAAATTACTTACCACAGTTTTTGACAAATAAGTCATTGCATATAAGAAGATTTAGAATCTAAAGAATCTGACATTGAAAATAATGAAGTAAATATACTAAACTTACAAAGCTAGATGATGGTGTTGGGGCTCAGAAAACAATATCTTAAATATAGTACTTTGTCATGCTGAACTAAAGAAGTGAACTCAAAATATCTCTGACCTCCCCAGTCCTGTCTCTCAATCTCTGTCTCTTTAAAGCATAGGATAATGTTGTTCTCTGAAGTTGCCTTATCTATCTAAAAACCAGAGAGCCAAAGAGTAATACAATTGCTTTTGATCCTCTTACTACAATTTTATTAACTAGAAATTAAAATGCATATCCAAAGGAAAAGAATGAAAATTAAACACCACACCGATAGCTCAGACTAACTTTTCCCCAATTATTGTCTATTTTCCGATTCCACTCAATTTCCAAAGAGAATTATTTACTTACAATTGTCTAAGCATTGACCCCATTCATTTCCCTAAAAATCATTTACTATCTTTCAAAATGACCATATTTTTGCCCTCTCTTCTTCCCCTATGAAGAAAGGTATACAAATATCTGGACCTCATTGGGTTATTGACTAATCACTCTCCCGTGATTCACTTGTGCTTATGCACTTTAGATAAATTTGCACCAACCTAATAATATCACTTGTCATTTTTTTCCTGTTAATCTGCCTATTGTCCTTTCATTTTTAGCAAGCCTTAAAAGGGTGAAGAGAAAGTGTTCATCTTCACTCTTACAATAAAGAACCTGGAAGAAAATCCTATATCTCTAAGAAATTTGCTATAGCGTTTTTTTCTGCTATACCACATTGCATTTCATTATCACAATGATGTTATTTATTAATATTTCATAACCCCCATTAGAGAATAGTCCTAAATTGTTTACTAATACTCCTAAATGCTTGAATACTGTTTTCAATGTTAAGTAAATATTACTGCTTTCAAAAATTATAATTTAATTACTTAATAGTTTTCATCTGTAATGTAGTTAAATTAAGGCTTTCAAAATGTTTTATGAAAACATATATCAGAAATTAAGCACTTATCTTTATTTTAATCAAGTTTAGTATAACCCTGTGGACTTGCTTTTGGTGGTACATTAATTTTAGAAAAACATAAGCCTGGCCGGGCACAGTGGCTCATGCCTATAATCCCAGCACTTTGGGAGGCTGAGGCAGGTGGATCACCTAAGGTCAGGAGTTCAAGACCAGCCTGGCCAATATGGTGGGACCCCGTCTCTACTAAAAATACAAAAATTAGCTGGGCGAGGTCATGTGCTCCTGTAATCCCAGCTACTTGGGAGGTTGATGCAGGAGAATCACTTGAACCTGGGAGGCATAAGGTACAGTGAGCTAACATCACGCCACTATACTCCTGCCTGGGCAACAGAGCAAGACTCCATCTCCAAAAAAAAAAAAAAAAAAGAAAAGAAAAATATAAGCCCATTTTTTTTAGAAATAGCTTGATATTTGAGGTTAGTTCAGTGCATAGATCAGTGACCTCCTTTTTACTTGTGTGCCATATCATATAAACAAAAGTTAAAGAAAATAAATGAAAAGTGGGAGAAAATGGAGAGTGAAAAGTAGTTATGTGTCATTCAGTCATTTAATAAATACTTATTGAGAATTTACCATGTACCACACATGGTGCTAAATGTAGTGGGTATAAAAACAGATAAGAATTCATGTATGTCAATAATTATAATACTATTATCAAAAATTCATGGTAGAACAGTACATTTGTAATTTAAATAAAAATTATTCCCATGAGGCTTAGTCATGGCAATTATACCCTTTAAATGTATCTTCCAAAAAACCATTCTGGTTTCACAAAATATATAAAAGCAATTCAGCACTTTAATTGAATCTCTCTAATGGCATCAAAGAGGATCCAGCACAAGGGCCCACAAACAACACTTATTGAAACCTGTTCCCATTACACAATCTCTTATACCACATCACCCACCTTCATATTCTGAATTTCCAACTACAACTCTCTTAATAGCCAGCAACTTTGCCTTTTTTTTTTTTTTTACTAATTCCCATTTTTTCTGTCACTATTCTGTTTATCTGCCTTCTTAAAAATATCAGCATTTCCAGATTGAAATATAATTTTTTAAAAGAAACTTCTTTCTAAAGAAACTGCCTCTCTTTACTGTTTTTCCTCTATTCTGTGTCAAATAAGTCCCAAAACCAAAATAGAACAGAAAGAATTATTCTTAGGGAAAGCAAAAAGACAGGCAGTTTCAATTTAGTGAGTAAAGAGGACAAAACTCTACAAACACACATAATTTATGTGTTTATCATGAGCATCATAACAGGGGACATGGGTAAGAGCCACTAAACCAAGCTGGGAGAGCTGACACATAGGTTTCATGGAGAAAAAGACACATGAGTGGCCATATACAGAGTGAAAAACAGAAATTTTTAAAAAAATGAAATGCAGGCAAAGAGGAAGACATTCAAGAGAAAGGGAAACATGAAGCAAAGTATTGAGGAAAAAAAGGTGCAATTTGTGGATTAAACTACAAATAGTTCAGTTTTACTAAATCGAAATTGTAAGGCACAGAATAGTAAGTGATGAGTCTACCAAAGCCAGCCATGAATAAAATCACAAGGGCTTCTTAGGACATGTTAATACCTTTGAATTTTTTTTTGTCAACAGAAATTTGCTTAGGTATTCTTTAAATGGAACTACAGATTACAATATTCCACCTAAAGATATTAGCCAAGCATTAAATGGGATTGGCTAATACAGGAATTAATGAGGAGAATCGTACTTCTAGTAAAAGTAATTTCTGTTTTCAGTTCTGATATGTAAACAGCTTAGAGGTCTACACTCACTTCCTTATGCAAAAAAAGGAAAAGCTTGACAAAATAAAAATAAATCAGTTTCCAAGAGAAATTTAAAAAATATTTTTAACTAAATGGAAATACAACTTGGCAAAATTTGTGAGATGCAGTGAAAGCTGTACTTGAAAATTTATAGTATGTAAATGCACATATTAAAATATAAGAAAGATGTAAAATAAAAAAACCTGAGTTCTCACCCAGGATATTAGAGAAAGAAGAGCAATTTTAGCCTAAACTGGAAGAAGGGGAAAAGAAGTTGAGTAGAATTAAGTTGAAAACAGGAAAGAAATAGATTAAATAACAAAATCAAAAGCTGATTCTTTTAAAGGATCAATAAAATTGGCAAACATCTACCCAAGCTAACATGAAAGAAAAGAGAGAAGGTACAAATTATCAGTGTCAGAAGTGAAAGGGAGAGCATTCTCACTGATCCCACGGGCATTAAAAATAACAAAATACAATGAAAACCTGTATGTCCATAAGTTTGATAACTCAGATGAAAAGGGCAAATTCCTTTAAAGACACAAAGTTCCCAAACTTACATAGAAGAAATAGCCCCTTACCTATTAAAGAAATTTGACCAATAATTATTAAATCTTCCAAAAAATGTAATTATCTCAGATATTTTTACTGATAAATTCTACCAAACAGTCAAGAAAGAAATGGTACAAATTCTCCACAATTTCCTTTTAGAAAATAGAAACAAGGTAGACTTTTTAACTTGGTGTGTGGACTGCATTAAACTAATGTCCAAATCAGATAAATAAATTCTAAGTATAGGAGAAAGAAAATATTTTTTCTTCAGTACTCATAGGCTCTTATTTGGAACAGAACCCTGTAACAAAAGGTAGATTAACAAGAGGAAAAAAGAACATAATTTTATTAACATGTATATTTCACATACACATGGAAGACACCCAGGCAATGAGTAGTTCTCAAAGAGGCGGCTTTGAATTCTAGCTTATAGACCATCTTCAACAAAAAAACAGTAATTTTTTAAAGAAGGGGTGATACAAAGAAAAACGGCTTTGAGTTTCTTGGGGAAAATCTTGTGGGAAGGCAAATAAATGGCATGTAAAGTCTAGTTATTTCAGACCATTTTGTGCTGCTATTTAAAAAAAGTCTAGACTAAGTAATTTATAAAGAAAAGAGGTTTATTTGGCTCATAGATCTGCATGCTGCACAAGAAGCAGGTAACCATCATTTGATTGCTTCTGCGAGGGCTTTTGTGCTGTGTCAAAACATGGTAGAGGCCAGGCGCAGTGGTTCACACCTGTTATCCCAGTACTTTGAGAGACCAAGGCAGGCAGATCACTTGACATCAGGAGGTCAAGATCAGCCTGGCCAACATGGCAAAACCCCGTTTCTACTAAAAATACAAAAATTAGCCAACTGTGGTGGCTGGTGCCTGTAGTCACAACTACTTGGGAGGCTGAGGCAGGAGAATCCTTGAACATAGCAGGTGGAGGTTGCAGTAGCCAAGATTGTGCCACTGCAGTCCAGCCCAGGCAACAGAGCAAGACACTGTCAAAAAAAAAAAAAAACCATGGTGGAGAAGGTCAGAAGGGAAGCAGGTATGTGCAAAGAGGAGCCAGACTTGAAGAGTGTCCTGGCTTTATAACAATCCACTCTCATGGGAACTAAGTCCTTCCCTGAAGTACCAATTCAGTCTCAAAACAGAGCAAAAACCCACTACCATGAAAACACCACCAAGCCCTTCATGAAGGACACGTCATCATGACTCAAACACCTCCCACTAGGCCCCACTTGCAAGCACCATCACATTGAAGCTTAAATATCAGCATGAAATTTGGAAGAGACGAACAAACCATATCCAACCATAATGTAAATCTTGTTAGTGCAGATTCCTCTGGTACTATCTCCAGGTTAAAGGAGTCTAAAGTTGTGTCCAATCATTAAACTTTGTTCTCCTTGGTAGAAGGGAGCAGGATAGATTTTGTCTTTGGTAAATCTATCTCCTGTTATTAGACAAATGGAGGGCAGAGAGCTGTCCTCCATCTGCTTCTTGTTCTCTGCAGAACAATCCATATCTTGAGACAGCATTCTGGTCTCCCACACAAGAAATGGAAACTGTAGACCAACATCTTTCACAAACCTCCGTAACAACCGCCTTCCATAAGCAGAGGGCAAGCTCACACAAAAGAAACAGATCAGTAGGTAGTCAAAGACTTACTCAGGAGAAATTGACACACCAGGCACTTGAATGTCAGTTTCAAGGGCAGCAAGACAAAGTAGATCTTCGGGCTTGTAATGCATGTCTGACCTGTCTCTTATGCTATGTAAAGAAAAAAGAAAGTGGAAAAAAAGAAAAAGTCTCTAGTTGTGTGTTAAACCATCTGGTTGCTTTCTTAATCTATTTACTTTCTTTTTAAAGGGATTCTTGAGTTTCCTCCCATCTGATCAACATTCCCAAGGAAGGAGATGTTCTGGGCAGCAGTAGTTATTTTGGTCCTCAAGTTAGTGCATCCTGCAACTCACTTCTTGGCCATGTAGCCAGAAGGCATTTCTCAACACTAAGATTCTGGTTAGCGTGGGCTACAGGAAACTCTCTTAGGATTTTAGAGGGTGGAAGCTTGGCAGCAGCCATTTTGTAGCATACACTAGTGAAGTTACTAGCATACACTAGTAAGCCAGCAGGCTTATCTCCTTGACTAACATAAAGGAGCAGCTAAACCAAACATGTTTGTGTAGATTTGCAACAAAGGACTTCAGCTTCTGTAGCATAATCTTGTCCTCAAGGCCAGGGACAACAAAAATGCATATGAGGCTGGGCACGGTGGCCACGCCTATAATCCCAGCACTTTGGGAGGCCAAAGTGGGCAGATCACTTGAGGTCAGGAGTTCCAGACCAGCCTGACCAACATGGTATAACCCTGTCTCTACCAAAAATATAAAAAATCAGCTGGGCATGGTGGCGCATGCCTGTAAGCCCAGCTACTTGGGAGACGGATGCAGGAGAATTGCTTGAACCTGGGAGGTGGAGGTTGAAGCAAGTCGAGATCATGCCACTGCACTCCAGGCTGGGAAACAGAGTGAGACTCTATCTCGAAAAGAAAAAGCACGTAAGTTTCTGCCTATCCTGTGGGTTGAAGTGTGTTCTTATGAGGTGCTAGCCAGCTCCTGATCTTCCCTTCCTGACTGCCTGACCCGTGAACTTCAGGCTCCAACATCAATCACAAGCTGAAATAGTATGGCTGTAAAAACTGTTTAACCAGCCTACCACAATGGCATAAGCCAATTTCTTATAATAAATCTCTCTATCTATCTATTATCTGTCTATTCATCTATTTATCAGCAACATTCTACTGTTTCTGATCCTACCAACAATTGATACTTACTAATAAAGACTCTAGTATGGGACTTACTGAAATACCAAGGTTTAAGAAAAAATCAAAGTAAGAAATTACTTTAAAATGTTATTTTAAAAAAGTATATAGAGAATCAGATCATTTCGTTTTTGGAAGCCAAGGAAAAACAGATATTAAATATCAACAATGTCAAATATACCATATGGCTCTACTAAAGTAAAGGCTGAATGTTATCTCTTGAATTTAGCAGTTATACAAACCTCTGTACCTTCGTTAAGGAAGTTATTGTAGATATGTAAGTGTAGAAGGCAGTTTGTAGTTGATTTGAGAAATGTAGAGGTGAGAATTTAAAGCTAGTGATTATAGCAACCTCTTTCCAGAAAATGAGAAAACTTAAACAATAGCTACAAGAGAGTTAATAATTACTTTTTGCATAAAAAATGGAGAGACGGGCTTATATAAACTGCATAGAATAAAATCACATAAGTAATAATGAATGTTTCTGAGAAAATACTTGTGATGGATAGAGCAATATCTCACTGAAAGCAGGAAAATGAAATCTGAGGATACATGTAGACATTGGCCTTCAATACAACTCATCCTCTGATATTGATGGCAAGATATTTTCCTAATAGGGTAGAAGAGAAAAAAAGAAAAAGTAACATGAAGAGTCCATACAGCCTAGTCTTCCAGCAAAAATACTTTCAATGCATAGATACGATTCAAGGTTTGTATCAGAACTTACTTCAACATGATCATAAGTCATTACAGGGTATTCCACACAATTTCCACACATAAGAAATCAAATCACATCAAATACCAATGTCAACTTTGAACTTTTCTTAGGAGAAAAAATTTACAATAGGGTAATTACTATGAGGGCAAGAGTCAGTCCCACCTATAATTCATAAACAAGATTGATTGTTATTATAAGCAAAGATCTCCAGGTCTTCTCCTCCTACTCCTTATCATCAGGCAGGAGGGAAAATTACCTTCTATAACTTTGTCCTTGTCTCTAAGTTCATCAGCTAAGTTTGTTATCCAAAAGATGTGAGTCTGTTAAAATAAATATGTTCATGCTTTGCACTTAAGATGTACAAAGTTTCCTAGAATATCTCAAGCCAAAGAGATGCCATCATTCAGGTGTTTAGAGCCCAGTGAAGGAACTCTGAATGTAGAAACAGGGCCCAGGAATGTTCAATAATGTATTTTGCTGTGCCCTTATGTTGCCCAATACACACATATACATAAAAACTCTCATATCTTTACTAAAACATTTGTAAAAACAAAAATCATTAGCCAGGTCATCATTATTAACTGGAGATGTTATGAAAATATCACTTGTCCTTCTAAAAAGAATGCTTTTGTTAATTTCTGCTACTGATGCTAAATAACTATTTGCTGCTGGGTAGTAGTCAATTCATTCTCTCTCAGATTTAGAGCATCTGGATTTGTAATATAGGGCTTAATTTTATACATAAACTAGAGCTCAGCCTTTCCATTGGTGGACACACCTAGGTAGTATAATATGCTATGTGTAAAGCTTTATGTTTATTACTAAAGTTGAGGGGAGGTCTGGCAAAATTAATTATTGCATGAAAAAGTCAGTGGTGCTTTCTTAAGGGCAAGATCAGATAGATTACTTAAAACTTTTCCAGGAAAAACAGGTTATAATTACTCAAAATAAGAAAGATATTTCTACTGCATGAGCAAACAAAAAAAATAAAACTGAAATAAAAGGTTTAACTTAAATTAGTACCTTAACAAAACATCAAAAATGCCAGACAGATAAACACTGTTTTTTGCTTGTATTTTCATTGTTAATTAATGTTTTCTTTGTTTGGTTTTTGTTTTGGGTCCTGTTTGTTGTCACTCAAATATGTGGACCCTTTTGACTCATTTTTTTCAGGAATACATGGATAACAGTAATTTATTATTTATTCCATAATATTTTCTGAGCCCCTAGAATAATTCTGACATCAAGAACCCAGAAATAATTATGACACAGAAATCATTGCCTAAAGGGAATACCAGACACATACTAGTAATTAAAGCATTGTGCAATATAATTTATTATTTTCTCATTATTTCCCACATGGTTCTCTCTTATTACCCACATAGTTCCCTTTTATGGCACTAGAATATTTTTACATGCCTGTCTCTCCATACATATTATACTCACTTTTAAAAGGAAGATCTGTATATTTGAACACTATGGTTAGTGCCTAGTACAGTAACTAGTACATAGCAATACTCACTAAATACATATTGAATTAATTGAATTCTGATATTTGTGCTGCTGAAGAGTTTTACAAAAGAATTATCTTTTTAAGGGAAAAAGACTTCTTTTCTCATCTGATATGGTTAGGATATGGGTCCTCACCCAAGTCTCATGCAGCATTGTAGACCCCAGTATTGAAGGTGGGACCTAGTAGGAGGTGGCTGGATCATGAGGTTGGATTTCTCCCTTGCTACTATCTTTGCTATAGAGAGTTCTCATGAGATCTGGTTGTTTAAAAGTGTGCGGCACCTCCTCCCTCTCTCTTCCTCCTGCTCCTGCTGTGTGAAGCACTGGTTTCCCCTTTGCCTTCTGCCATAATTGTAAGTTTCCTGAGGTCTCCTCAGAAGCTGAGCATATTCTGCCATGCTCCATGTACAGCCTGCAGAATCATCAGCTGATAAAATCTCTTTTCTTTATAAATTACACAGTCTCCGGTATGTCTTTATAGCAGTGTGAGAACAGCCTAATACATCACCCATCACTAGATTTGCAATGGAAACTCTTATAACAACAACAACAAAAAAATAGGTTAACAAGAGAAAAGCATACCTATTTATATCACTCAAAAGCCTCAGTAATGAAGACTCAAATAAAGAGATAAACGTGTATTTTTATAATTAGGTTTAATAAAAAGTGATCAGTCATGGAGAAGTATGATTGCATAAAGAGGATATAACCTAATGGTATTAAACAGAAGTGGGGGACTTGGCAAGGCCTATTTGCTCAGATTCTTCACCATGCCCCTGTGCTTCAAATATAAAGATGTTCCTTTCCTCTGGGTATACGGAGGGCCATTCTCCCACCTGCTTCAGAAGAGAAAGTTGGGAATGGTCAGAGAGTGACCTTCATAGGTCCAGCTTTAGGGGGAAAGAGTCAAGGGAAGGTGAGAATGGCCTTCTTGAGTCTGGTGTTTACTCAAATGCCAAGGTTTAGGTGTGTCCTAAACCCCATCATCATGAAGGCAAAAAAGGAGGAAATTAAATGTTCAAAACTACAGCACAATAAAAGTTCGAGGACTATATGAAAAACCAAGTAATCCAGAATGGTTAGTTGAAAGGCTAACTTGGAAGAAATGACAGCCGGGTAAGCTAAGAAGATTGATTCTATTCAGATAATAGATGTCCTGGTGTCTCATGCCAGAGTCAGAATTTTTCTCTGTAAACAAAAGAGAGTCACTAAAGATTTTTGAACATGAGAGCGATGACTATATAAGTAAACCAAATTATCTGTGTTTATTATTGCACTATGGGAAAATGGCCAGTACATTTTTACCAAATTTGAAGGGTACAGTTGAGATGGTCTATATATGACACTCAAAATTATGAAAGAAGGTCATTTTGGAGGATTCCTCAAATAAAATAGTTTAAAACTGAATTAGGACAAGAGCAATATCATACTCCAATCTGGGGTAATATGCATAACTATCAAAATATGATGAATGAAGAGGAAAAATTGGCTTTAGATATAAACCCTAAGTTAAAAATCATAAAGGTATAATACGTTAACAGATAGACTAGGCTTTAGTCTTTTAACCGCTAGTTTTTAAAGTTAACTTCAGGATAAGATGTTAAAATAAGACTCTCAAATACCATAATATTGAAGACATGATGGGTTAACATAAGAAACAAATTGATTTGGGTATAGATACTGTTGGGAAGACAAAAATCTTTTTCTCTACGTATTTTTGGTTTTCCAAATAGGGCACTGTAAATTAGGCTCCTCAAAG